TTTTCTAAGGCTGGTCCGAACAATCTCTGCTACTTGCACAGCAACAGTCTGTCCTTGTTTTCTTTGTTTTTCTGTTTTCAAAGCAAAACCTTGTACCACAAATAAAAATCGGAATAGATCGATGGAGATTTTATATGAAAGCACTTTCACCAGCGCCAGTGTCAAAAAAACCGGTTTGAAATTCGAGTTTTGGTCTAATTTTGAGCGAGTAAAGCAATCGAGTAACGTTAGTTGAAGAAAGCTAGTCATTTAGACAGGGAAATTTTGACTGTACCATAAGAAAAAAAACTAATTTTAAGAGCTTCGTTTAGCGCTTTCTTGTCAAAAAGTTTTGTAAACAATATATATAAACAAGAAAAAATAGTTAGATAAAAAACTGTTAATCCAATGAAATTTTTTTCAAATGATTATGGGAGGAAGAATCTGGCTGAATCTCTGGTGTTGCAAATCCGTCATCTTGATTTTCAGTTGCTGTTTTTTACCTTCGGTACATTTAATTTTCAGGTTAAATATCCTTTGAAAACGAGAGAGGAAACATTTCCGCTTTTGCATCTTCTGCTCAAAAGTAGTTGTCGTTCTGCAGACTGAGTCATAATCTGTCAGGTGCTCTATAACTGCATAATCGCCATCATCCATCCATTGCAGTCCCAAATGACGAATTAACTGATTTTGTTGCTCTTTTTTCTTTTCCAAGCAACTTTTTGTAGTAGAACAAAGTGCTCCGCCTTCATAACAATCGTCCAACTGCGTATCAAGGACTATGGTCCTCTTAGAGTTTTGAGAACTTTTTCTGGGCACACAATCTGATGATTTGAGTTTGTTTGACTTGACCATAATTTGATTCTATGAGCAGTTCCAAAAAGTTCGGATTGACAGTATTAAAAGCAGTAGTCATCAAAGTTTGAGCAAATTTTGCTAACTTTAGAAGTATTTTATTTGTCGAAAAATCAGCTTTTTCATCTCTTTAAAAACTGACGAGAAACAACATTTTACTCTTTTTCTTTAAATATGAATATCCGAACTTTTTGCCAGGTATTGCGTGTGAAAACAAGGAGCTTAGTTTAAAAATTGTTTGTATCTGAAGTATCTGAAACACAATGCTGTGTTGAAAACTTTTAGCGGATATCTTCAATAGGAAACACAATTAGTCACAATCTAAAATGACAAATTCTTCAATAGTTCATAATAAAAGCAATACAATGTCTTTTGCAAAGGCTACTTAAATGCCCAAAAATGTCTATTTTTGTCCTAAAAAGGATCAAAATTGAGTCTTAAGGGAATTTTCATGAATACAGAATGACCTTTTCCAAAGTCAACCTTGTAGTAATTTTTGAACTTTTTGAAAATCAGAGCTTACGAATCGCGAAAACTTAATACTATTTAGAAAATCAACATATGAGAGAACTTAAGTATAGAGACCTACTTATGGATGAAGTGCTTCAACATTTTCGCACTGAGCACAAGTGCTTCAAATGAAAAAAAAATTTGTTCAGCTGAGACACAAGCTGAATGTAATCCATTGTTCTGTCCAAGAGCTTCCAGAAGCTTTCAGGAGCTTGCAAGAAAGCACATCGCTGAAAGAACAACATTTTGTTTGCTACCTTTATCAAATCCCTCATGCAGTATCTCTTTATTCTTTATTTTCAACAAAAGTTCTACCCTTTTTCAATAATTCATAAGCTATGTTTAGCTTTTATGCTGGAAACAAATATTTTTGTTGGCTCAAAGAAACTATAATTATCACTAGCAACGTCAACTATTTTATGCCTGAGAATGTCGTGGTCAAAGTATACTGTTACCACCCGGGTTGACGTCCATAGAAAAAAAATGCTTATCATACAATTCCATTAAAAAAATGCTATCATACATTTTTTTTGTAAGTTTAAATGAGGTTGATTCGTTTTGTGATTAATTTAGATCAAGTTGGCCCATTTTTTTTTCATTTTTTTTGACAAAAAACGTTTATCATACGATTTCCATTCTATGAAAATGGTATGATAAGCATTTTTTCGATAAACAAAACTTTAGCCGCGACACACAAAATAATTTTGAAAACTTGTCCCAAATTTTTTTTGTTTTTTTTTTCAACCGCAAATTGAGTTTTCTACGCAAACAAACATGTTCCAAAATCTTTTTTTTTGTGTGCATAACGTAGTCCTGGATACGATAATATTGGCTTTTTTCGTTTCACTTTAAAAATTTTTTTTCAAAAACGCTGAAAATTCCTATTTCTTTTGTATGGCGTGTTTATGTATGCCCTGATCAATGTCTGATAATTTGAAAATTCAAAAATTTAAAATAATTATCAGTGAAAAATTTTGCCAAAAATTAAAAGTTTGTAACTTTTGTTATTTCATTTGTGAAGGACAACTCGAAGACAATTCAGGTCGTTTATTATGCATTGTGAAAGCAAGACCGTCCAACCTTTGGTGCTTTGAGTAATCAAGGTCTTTTGTCACTTGGGTTCGGTTGAAAACATAAACCAAATTGTTTCAGAAAATAAAATTAGAAACAAAAAACAACTTTTTGGCTTAAGGCAAAAACACCTATCATACAATGCCATTTAATGGAAAAAATGGCTATCATACAAATCCATACAATTTTTCCAATCGGGGTGGTCTTGTTTTATTCAGACCAATTCTCAAAAATATTTGCCTCGGGGGACCATCCATGGATCTTCCGAGCATTGATTATGCGTGACATATTATCGTGCACCACAAAATTGTTCCAAATTCAATCAAAGCAGGCTAATTGGTCTTAATAATTCCATTCTCGATTCTTAACATTCAGCTTGAAATTCATATTTTGTGAAAATTTCCGTAAGCAATAACTATTTTAGTCCAGTTTATGAACAGTCAGAGCATTCAAGGCTTTGCCCTGATACGAGCAGTCTTGTTGTTTCGACTTTCGAAAAAAGTGAAGAATTGATACGCCCGGGGTGAGTTTTTTTATTCGGGTCAATTTCAGAAAAGATGACTGCGTATCCGAAAATCGTGTGATTGCCAAGCGATTAAGCTTGCACTTGACTAAAGTGCGGCTTTGCCGCTGGAATAGTACTTCGGTAGTCTGACTATTAAGAATACTTCGATAGTTTGACTATTTTTCACTATTAAAATTTAATCTTTTAGTCTAACTTCGAGCAAATTTTATTAGTTCAAGTTGGACTAAAACGCAAAAGTATCAAACCGGGGTTTCTAGACTCAGCTGAAAGAATTTAGTATGATATATCACTCAACCCATTCCTATGATTTTTTCTGGAACCTGATGTCGCGTGGAAAACAAAAAAAGAGAAAATACTAAAACATACCCGATTAACAGTTCTTCCCCATTTCCATTAGTCTGGACAAAGAAAACTAGTACCTCGCGATCATCATCAGCCAAACTTTTTAACTCTTATTAGAGCGTATGGAAGCTATTTGAGATGGGCACGAATTCGTACAATGGGCACCACTACCGGGCCTATGGGAGAGAGAACTGGCATCTGTAAATTTATAAAATCTGGTTTTTAATGACATGCTTTCTGCATAAATCATTCGGTAAAAAGAATTTTGTCATTACTGGAAATGCCAGTTGACTTGAGGTCACTGTATTTTGGTTTTGTATCATTAGATTTGGTCTAAGTACCATTCAATTTGCAGATCGTAAAGATGATTTTAAAATTTTTGATGGAAATATATAGTTTTTTGCGACTAAATTGCACATTTGGATGGAAATTTTTTTGGATCTTTTTAGACATGTTTTGTTAACCAAAATGCTATAAGGAATTAACATGTTCTGCAACTGTCTTAAGAGTTTTTTTTTCAAAAAACTCGTGATAGGGTTCTGTTTTTTACCTGTTCATTGGAAATATCCATTTCCAGCAAGTTCTCAAAGTGAATGTGGAATGTGGAATGTGGATATAAGCATTATCGCGGGGAGTTTTTTCAAAAAAACACGAACCACCTTAAATAAAAAATGTTCAGCTGGAACGAAGTTGTTTGGCCAGGCGATTGTTGAGAAATTGTCACAAATTCGTTTGTTCTGTGGTTAAAATTGCCTCCTGATTAAAAGATCGAAAATATATGTTACTAGAGAATTCAAAATCTCGTGACGGCTACTGGGGCATGGTGTGAAAATTCAATACGTGCCAGGCGCACTCAATACAAGAAACAATTTTAAAAAATTTCTATTCGTAAACAATTAAATTATGTTTTAAAATGTTTTTAGCAAGAAGCATTCGACATATAGGAATTTCTTGCAACCCAATTGATTTAAAGTCACGCTTTTTTGGTTGTTTTATCATTAAAATAAGTTCAAGCAACGCCCAAGAGCAAGCCGTAGAGAGATTTTTAAGAGTTTGATGCGACTTTAAAATTTTTTGGTTAAGTTGTTCTTCGTTTAGATAGTTTTTTGATTTCTACAAAAGATGAAAACTTTTGATTGATTTCTACAATTTTAAGATGAAGCAATTTTTTCTTACTTTTTAATGAAGCTATAAAACCTTATCTTTTGTTCCAGCAACTTCACGTAATTAGTTTGAGGAACTATATCAATAGTGTTTTTTCCAATAAACTTGATACTGCAATTACATAATAAATGTCAGATGGCGCCGAGTCTTATATCACCTTTTAAGTTGTCATTCTGATTTCAAAAGGAAAATAGAAAGAGAGTTGTTTCAGGGGCCAGAAAAACTCGTCTGTGTATTTCCATTTTTCAAACTAAATTACCGCAACGAAAAATGAGATATTAGATTTGACAATAATGTTTTAGTAGCAGGGCTAGATCTAGGACTTTCTCGAGGGCAGGTGCGGCAAATCACTTTTTTCAGTCATTTCAAATTTTCGATTATTCCTACCGTCGCAAGATATAGGATTTTTAGAATTAAGAAACACCTAAAACTCAGCGGTCTCCTCGCCGATTTCGATCAGACTTTCTGAAAAATTTTTTATTTCTTCAGGAAGTTTTTATTCCAAGTTTTTGTCTCCTAGCTTTCAAAAAGTTTTAAAAGAAAAGTGAACAAAACTAAATTTCAGGCCTAGGGTTTCCGTGCAAATGTGAAGGACAAACAACAACAAGAGTTACAAAATATTGCTCTATGTTTTGAGGACTGTTCGATTCATCAAATTTATCACGTACAGAATAACACAAAAGATATGCGCTTGTTTTTAATCTCCGTTAGAGCTCAAATTTTTCAACTGTCTTCAAAAAACATTGAAGTATTCACAATTGGAGCAGTTATTTTCTCTAGCCTCGAATCAAAGGTTTCAGCTGGAATAGTCGAATTGATAATACAGAACAAATATCAGAGCGTTAGGACGAAAACTCGGGTGGTCTCTACATTTTGGCTTCAAATGCAGGTAAATTTGCTCCCATTATGGACTATTTGCCCATTATGTCCTTATGTTCTATTTTGCCTATTCTGCACTATTTTGCACAGTACTGCCTCCTTTTGTGGCCGTTTTGTCTTGTAAATTGGTAACGCCAAGATAGACCATCCAATAAACCAGACATATCATGATATAAGTTAACGGAAACATAATTCGAGAGTACAGGTCGATTCGACTGACGTCAATACTTCTCGTTTTTGGTACGTGTTTTCCTCGGCGACGTCTCGGATTTTTCTGCCTCGGAACTTGTTGAAAGTAACTTCGCGAGTTCTCGTGAATGACGCTCGGATTTTGTTTATAAATAGCTTCAAACATCGGTTTTGAGTCCATCACCGGTGATTGAGGCGCTATGCCCGGTGACCGGAACTCGCTGCTCGGCGTGTTTGTGAAGGAGTGTTGTCTTGATAGGGGAATGCCAGCCGAATGTTGCGAGAACTGGTGATGACTGCCGACAACGTTAGCGTCGTTCGGATCTAAATTATGACCAATCGAGTTCGAGCTCACTTGTCGCTTATGTCGTTGTATCAGTTCCGGTGACTCAGGAGAACCGGTATCAAAATGGGCTTCGTGGGTTTCGGCTACTTGGTTGTAGTTTTGGGAGGCGTTCAGTGATCGGCTGCTGTGACTGTTGCACAGAAGAGGTTGTGTTTGACTAGCTGAGAAACTGTTCTTAGGTGAGTTGCGAATATTCTTTTCGATGACGCAGAGTCCATTCGACTGGAATCGCGATGGTTCGTTCCGCCACGGAACTCCGAGCTGAAAGAAAACACCATTTCTCAAAAAAGGGCAAAAAATAAAAGAAACAGTAGTTTTTCAGTTTTCAAGAACGATCCAATTATTATGAAAGTATGGTTTTCGACTAAGAAAATTTCTCGAAAAGTGTTTCTCGAAAAACTTTTGTTTAATTTCAAAAAATTATGCTTTATTTCAAAACAAAATCCAAATCAGAAAAGTTTACTTTATAAACATAAGTAAGATTGGAAATGTTTCGCACCAAATGGGGTCCGTCTCTTTCGGGTGGTGTGGACACCTTGGGTTGGTATCTGGGCTTGTTGAAGTAGCAGACAAGAGCGAACTCGACCAGAGCTCCGAATACGTACAAGAAACAGATGCCAAAATAGATGTCCAGGGCCTTGATGCTGGATACCCGGGGTAAGTTTGAGTTGGTCGCCCCCATCAAGGTGATCATGGTCAGCACAGTGGTTATAGCCAGTGAGGCCCTGGAGAAAAACAGATCACGTGATGTCAAAAAGAAAAAGCGACACAACTTTGAAAAAAGAAAGTTTGCAATGTGGGGGCGGGGGGAGTGGAAAGCAGCCCAAGAGCTGAGTTACCAAGATTTACAAAAACATAAGATTAAACAAAAGGTATCATTTTACAAATTTATCTTGCCAGCTTCAAACTTTCCAGAAGTAGTTTTTAGTTAAATGAATAAAAATTAAAGAAATAAATAAAAATTATATATATATATTTTTTGCAAATCCCCCCACACTCAAGGCTAAGTGTAAAAAGACATGTTTATCTAGCATATATCTAGAAGATATGTTTTTATCTTAAGCCAATCAGCTCACATCATATCAATTTAGAATTATATCTGAGTGCTGCTTACGATTGGTTAAAAACCTTAAAAATCGCAAGTTGTCAAAGCAAACAACCAAATTTTTCCAAAAACAGTTGCAGATAGTTTCTTAAAAGCAGACCTCAAGCTCAAATTACCTTCAGATTATGCTATCAAACATCTACCAGAATTTGAAAACCTAAAAAAAATAAAATTTGTCTGAAAAACAACCACAAAACCACTCCATAGCGCAAATATGGTTGTACTGACTTTTTTCGAAAGTCAGTACAACAATACTCCTCGTATCACAACGAAGACTTAAAAGTTTTGACTGTTTTTTTAATGCGCTTAAACTTGCATTTGGTGAAAAAAAGACAGTTTTAAAATAAAGCTATTTATTTGGAAACTTTTCGCATCTGATTTAATGTCAAAAACTACGTGAAAAGTTCGTTTCTATTCGCCAAGTTTTTGGATTATATAAGTTAGTCTCAATTCAATTTGAAAAAATTCTGAGCTAATTTAATTTACCGCCTACACTACGCGTTAACAGAAAACTGGGATTTATCGCACAAATTTATCCCAATATGATCAAATTGGCACTTTTCAAACACTCAAAACTTAGCAAAAACGATCACATATGAAAATTGGAGAACTCAAGATGAAAATAAATCCCAGTATTTTGTTAACGCGTAGTGTAGGTGGCAAATTAAATTGATTTATTGTTCCGACATTCGATACGAAATAAACGGAATATTTGTGCTCGGGGTGGGTTTTTTTTCTTCAGACAAATTTCGACTTTTTGACTAGCCATTTTTGACGAAATTTTTTAAACATCTTTCGAAAGGTATTGTTGTCTTGAGCTTCAATTTGAAAAGATTTTTTAACCTGTGATCATTTTTTGTAAAGTAATGGGGGTTTAAAGATTGGTTTTTTGGCCAATTCCGGACAATTAATGCGCGATATTTTTTTGCGCTTTTAATGCGTAAGCGGAGATTTAATCCGTTCTAGAAATCGTTCCAAATTGTTTGAAATAAGCTTATTTGCCATGATTGATTTTTACTAGCAGCAAAATCCTTTCTTTTGTACTTTATATGGCGTGTGGGGTGATGATTTTCATTAAAAAGTTCAAATTTCAGAAAATAAAAAACTTCATTTTGTTTTTTTTTACATTCAATTTTTCTATGTTATTACTGCTCCATAAACTTCAAAAGGCAGTCGGAACATTCAGGGATTCGCCCTGATACGAGCAGTCTTGTTTCATATGTGATCGTTTTGCGAAGTTTTGAGTGTTTGAAAAGTGCTAATTTGATCATATCGAGATAAATATGTGCGATAAATCCCAGTTTTTGTTAACGCGTAATGTAGGTGGCAAAATAAGTTGATTTATTGTTCCGACTTCCGATACGAAAGAAACGGAATATTTGTGCTCTTGGTGGGTTTTTTTTTCTTCAGACAAATTTCGACTTTTTGACTAGCCATTTTGACGGAATTTTTTTTTCATCGTTCAAAATGTATTGTTGTCCTGAGCTTAAATTTGAAATGATTTTTTTACCTATGATCATTTTTCGTACAGTTATGGGGGTTTAAAAATTGGCATTTTGGCCAATTCCGGACAATTAATGCGCGATATATTTTGCGCTTTTAATGCGTAAGCGGAGATTAAATCCGTTCTAGAAATTGTTCCAAATTGGTTGAAATAAGCTTATTTGCCATGATTGATTGTTATTAGCAGCGAAATCTACTCTTTTGTACTTTATATGGCGTATGGTGGAATGACTTTCATTAAAAGGTTAAATTTCAGAAAAAAAAATTTCATGCAAAATGCAAGTTTAAGCGCCAAAAAAAACAGTCAAAACTTTTAAGTCTTCGTTGTGATACAAGGAGTATTGTTGTACTGACTTTCGAAGAAAGTCAGTACAACAATAATTGCGCTATGGAGTGGTTTTGTGGTTATTTTTCAGAATTTTTTAAATTTTTTTGCTTTCAAATTCTGGTAGATGTTTGATAGCATAATCTGAAGGTAATTTGAGCTTGAGGTCTGCTTTTGAGAAATTATCTGTACTGTTTTTGGAAAAATATGGTTGTTTGGTTTGTCAACTTGCGATTATTTATGTTTTTCACCAATCGTAAGCAGCACTCAAATATAATTCTAAATATATATGATGTGAGCTGATAAAAACATATCTTCTACAGATATGCTAGATAAACATGTTTTTTTACACTTAGCCTTGAGTGTGGGGAGATTTGCAAAAAAAAGATATAATTTTTATTTGTTTCCTTAATTTTTTTTCATTTAACTAAAAACTAATTCTGGAAAATTTGACGCTAGCAAGATAATTTTGTAAAATGATACCTTTTGTTTAAATATATGTTTTTGTAACTCTTGGTAAATTAGCATATACATTTATCACAAAAATTCTTCTTGAAAAAAAACTTGAAGTTTTTTTCGAGAAAAAACAACACCCAAAAAAGCACAAGCAAATTGATAATGTTGGAGAATTAAACTTGAGATCCATTTAAAGCTTAATTTAATTAGGTCGCTAGATGCGGCGAGAAAAATTAATACAAACAAGGTCCATGTATTGTTTGTAGTACAAAATCTTAAGACCAAAAATGGAGGTACTAAACGTGAAAAAGTAGAATTTAATCAAAAACCATCGGAATACTACTTTTATTTTTTGAAACTAAAATAGTTTTTAGCCTGATAATAATAAATCAAGGTGGCAGCCTAAAAAATTGAACCTTTTTGATAGAAACTGATTTGTCTGTCATCTGTTTGTACGCAAAATAACATACCTCAAAAACTACTTGTAGGGCTTGGAGTGTGATAACAGTTTTAAGGTTTTTCCGCCGTGATTTGTTTTCCCATTTTTTTTGGAAGTTGCCTCGGTTTTAAAAAATCTTTTGGGAACTAATTTTAGCAGCAAAGGATTTTATTAAAAATAAGTTAGTTGTTTCAAACTTTGCTTTCAAGTATATTTAGGTTTGTCATTTTTAAAAATTTTTTTGCTTTGATTATTGCTGTCAGAGTGTCAGGGGTGGATCTAGGATTTTCCCGAGGGGGGGGGCGTCTTTCAAAAATATTTCGAAATTTTGTCGGCCTATTTTTTTATGTCGACCAACAAATTGATTTTTTGAGTTCTCGTAAATCATTATGAAGACCCCATTTTGACCACATTTTCTGCGCCGCAGCAAAACCCCGAAAAAAAACAAGGCCAAAAAAGGCGTTTATAGGCAATCTTCGGAAAACTTTGGCAAAAAAATCGCGCTTATTCGGCGCGCGCTCCCTCCTCAAAATTAATATAAATTGGCGCCAAAAGCGTCTTAAGAAAAATTTTAGGGTCCGTCAGCCAAAAACGGATATCTCAAAATAGTACAAAGCGGGACCCTTTGGTTCGGCAGGGTGTCGAATGCTTTGGGGGGGGGGGGGGGGGAGAGCGTCCGCGCTCCTCTAAATCCGCCCCTGATTGCTGTCGAAATAGTATATGCTGCACGCACAAAGACTGGCTAGCCTTGTTTTATATATATTTGATGTTTGTTTATTTTAGAAACATGCATGTTTAAGCAATTAGTCATTTTCTATATCCATATTTGATTGAAATTTTGATATAAGTTTAGTTTAGTTTCGTTTCAGCTGACCTTGCAGGCACTGAGTGTCTGTTGACGTAAAAGTTGACCCAAGACAGCAGCACAATGAGGGTGGCCGGTACATACGTCTGGATGATGAAATAGATGAGATCCCGTTTGAAGTAGAACACCACCTCCAAGTCCGAAAAGTTGCCTAGAATCAAGTTGAACACATTATACGAAGCGGTCAGCGGTCGGTTGGCATCCACAGTTTAAAATGCAATTTAAAGATGGGTACTCTCTGCTTATTTTTCGCCAAATATAAAACGACCATGTAAGCAAAAGTTGGCCGTTTCCAAAAAGTGCCTAAAAGCGTCTTTCGTTTTTTCAAAACAGCGTGCCCAAAAATTTGATCAAAATAGTTCTTTAGAGTGATTTGGGAGAGCTCAAAAATCAAGGTGGCCGAACACAAAGTATCACAAATCTTTCAAAACTTTTTGAAAATCCCTTTTGAGATAATTCACCCCTGCATTTAATGTTTGACTGAGGGGAAGCGCAATTTTTTTTATCATAACCTTTAAAAAATGTCCCAACAACGTAGTTTTTGGCCTTTTTTACTAAAAAAATGTGCCTCAAAATTTTCTCACAATCGCGGTTTCTCAAAATCGGGCCGTTTTAGTTTGGAATGCTCGGAAAATCAATTTTGTCGAGCTAAAAAAAGGCAGTCAAAATCTTTTGAAACGTTTTTCAAATCCTAACCCCCCCTCCCCTCGAGAAAAAAAATAGATCCGCGCTTCTGTATGAGCATGATTATTCGTCGTAAACATTTTTCAGTTTAATATGTGATTTGTTAATTCATAGCTGAATCCAAAATAATCCAATTAGGACCAAGAAAACATATCATCTAACGCCTTGAGGCATTAAACTCTTCCTCCGACCAACTTTAGTTTATGTCTCCTTTCAATTATGCTTGCCTGTTGAGAAATTCAGGAAATACTGTTTTGTAACGAGGTCGATCAATTTGAATTGGGCTAATTCGAGTTTCTGCCTGTTGAACTCCACTGGTGCTCGGTCGTCTAGGTCATCTTGTTTCCATCTCAGAACAAGATCTTTGCTCGTGTAGCCGACTGAAACATAAGACGACGCAGTCAAACACCTCTGCTAATTTATGCAGCACTAATGAAGAAGTAAGAATAGCCTATCGATCATTTTCTGGCAATTCACCACAAGATAATCATTTAATTTTAGCATCCGCTTGCCAAATGCATTCATGCTTAAAACCAAATTAAGTGGGTGATGACCAGGTGAGATAACTTACATGTTTCGACCATGAGTGAGCACTTCTGAATGTCCATGGGAAAGTACATGAGATCCATCGGACACTTGGCGATCACCGTCACTCTGAAATGAACGTTAACAACCTTCAGTTTTTTCGGGTCTTGTTAACTATCTCCCCCCCCCCCCCCCTCTATTGCAATAGGGAGGAAGGGGGAAATAGTTAACAAGATCCGTTTTTTCGTCTATCAGCCAGTCGTCATTCTAATATAAAACCATCTTTGTCCGTGAACGAAACAGCAGCTATTCAAAATGATCAAAACATCTTCATAAAATATTGCAAACGTTTTTTCCAGCATCTCTCTTTCATTTTGCGTTGTGCCTGTTTCATTATTAGCTTTTAAGCAAATGAACATGTACTATCTTTGAGGTAGTAGGTATTCTTTAGATCAACCATACAAGGAATTTAGGAATTTCTCGAGGGGGGGGGGCTGGATTTTCAAAAAAAAATTTTGAAAATTTTGTCGGCCTTTTTTTAGGTCGACCAAATTGATTTTCTGAGGTCTTCCAAATCACTATAAAGACCCTAATTTGACCAAATTTGACCAAAGGGGGGACCCTTTGGGCCGGCAGGGGGTCGAATCTGTTATGTAAGTGATCTCACCTACATTAAGTATAACATTAAATCTATTATGTAGGTGATATAACAATTTTTTTAAAATAGTCTTTTACAAAAATTCAAATATTCCCCCTCCCTCCATATCAACTTGGGGAGAATGTACGGTTGATCATAATCTTTTACACTCTGCAAAACAACAACCAGAAGCCTAAAACAAAGAATGTGAATAGGTGATTTTGTTCCAATTTTTAAAAACAATTACCGCAATTTATGAGCTCGGGTTAGGTTTTTCTTCAGGCCCAATTCATCCGTCAAACGTATTTGCTGATGGAACTTTTTTTACAATCTGAACGGTTTTGATGCACTTCAAGTTCAAATTGATAAATGTATTTCGACTGCGATTAATTTAAGGCAATGCTTAGAAGAATACTTGCAACACCTGCAACATTTAAAGCAGAGAATAATTCTGCCATTTCAACAAGTTTTGCTAGTTGTTTACTTAGAAAAACGTAAAAGATAAATCGCTGTTAAAACTATTCCAAAAACTAATGTTTTGTTGGTTATTGGGCTTACTAAGCACATGCATAAATATTGCTATCAAAGTTTTAAGGCATTAGAAAAGTCAGAATAAATATAAATTTTGTATCAGGGTCAAGCCCTAAAAGTTCTGACCGTCCTTTAACGTTTTGAGATAGTTTTATGCTTCAAGTTTTGATAATATTTTCTAAAGAAAAAAATTCAAAACTTTTTTCATCCCGTTGCTCCACACCCAAACAAACATATTCAAACGCGCAAAGTATGCCAAGGTACAAATTGCTCTAATTTGTATCTAGTAGCCTATTAACACGACCAGATAGCTTTCTTCAATTCAGTTTTGTATAATTTATAGCGGGATTCTGTTCATCATAATTTGACAAGTACATAATATATTGAGAATTTGTGCCAAACAGGCAATCACAAAAAATCTATGATTATCTAAATTTTAGCTCAGAGCATTAGTTTTGCTTAGAAATATACGTAAACATATCACAATTTGTAAAGAGAAAAACGAAAAAGCAACAAGCAAAATTGTTTCATCGCTAATTCAAAAGTCGACATAATGATTGAAACTACTATGATCGAAAAATCCCTAGTTAAAAAATACTATGATAGACAATTTCCTTGTAGGCATGAAACTTGATTTTCGCAGATAATATTTTGAAATAAAAATTGTGTAGAGTATATGCATTCAAAATATATCGCAAAACAAAAGAAATGTTCGATACGGAATTGTAACTGTCACGATCTTTAAATAAAACTAATTGTTAACTTCAACTTTTTTCTTCATAAATTATCAAATGGGTTAACTCTGGTGATTGTTCCGATCATTGGAATTACGGAAGAATTTTGTATTCGGTTGTGTTTCAATTCTTTTTATATTTTTTCTGTTTTTTTTTCACGCAAATCATTCTTCGACTTGAACCGTTAAAAAACTTTTATGTAATTTTTATGAATAGAATCGGAACAATCTGTGCTACTTGCACAGCAATCGACTTTCCTTTTTTAGAAAAGCATCTGGTTCGTCAGGAGAAATTTCTGTCACGGCACTCAATTGGTTATTAGAAAGGTTTTCACATGTAATTTTACTGATACATCTTCTTCATTGCATCAGATTTTAAGAGCTGAATAAAAACCGTGATGGCTATTTTTTTTTCTTCTAATCAAAGTTCTGAAAACTTGAGTGTGTTGGTTTCTGTCTTTTAGCGATGCCCTATACATGTACTAGAAAAGTTGGTTTAAGCTCGGTTTAAGCAACAAAAAAAGACTTCAACAAAAAACATGAATTGAAATTGATTTTAAGCTTACAAAACCATTTTAAACGGACACTAAAGAGATGTAAGCTCACAGGTTTCAAAATCTTGTAGATTTTTTGATGCACAACAAGTAAATTCAATCAATTTGAATCCATATAAATCAAATTAAAATTTAAGTTTATAATCATCTTATTATACTAATGAAATTATACAAATTTTTACAGACTTTTTTGGCTTGGTAGGTAACATGCGTAAAACGAAATTAAATTTGTAAAGTATCTTTTTCTGTGCGGATGTTTGACCTTAAAATGAATTATACAAATTTCGGTGCAAAGTTTTTGAAGCCAAAATAATTTTTCCCGGTTGAGTTTTTGTTCCGATTATCGAAACGAAAGTTACGGAATAATTGTGCTCGGGGTGGGTTCTTTTTTCTTCAGACAAATTTCGACTTTGTAACTAACTTTTTTGACGGGATTTTTAAAAATTATTCAAAAGAAATTGTTGTCCTGAGCTCAAATGTGAAAATATATTATATCTGTGATCATTTTTCGTAAAGTTATGAGGGCTTAAAGATTGCCATTTTGACCATTTTGACCAATTTGGGACAATTAACGCGCGATATATTTCGCGTTATTAACACGTAAGCGGAGATTCAATCCGTCTTAGATATCGTTCCAAATTGTTGGAAAGAAGCTTATTTGTCATAATTGATTTGCTACAAGGAGCGAAAACTAGCTGTTTGTACTTTGCATGGCGTGTGGGGAGATAATTTTCACAAAAAATCTCATTTTTTTCTTTGTTATTTTTGCTCCATAGACCTTAAAAGGCAGTCGGACATCCAGGGCTTCGCCCTGATACGAGCAGTCTTGTTCGTTTTTGTTCCGACTTTCATAACGAAACTAGCGGAATATTTGTGCTCGGTGTGGGTTTTTTTTCTTCAGACAATTTTCGACTTTTCGGCTAGCCATTTTTGACGGCATTTTTTATATCATTCAAAAAGTATTGTTGTCCTGAGCCTGAGTTCGAAACAAAATTTTACCTGTGATCATTTTTCGCAAAGTTATGGAGGTTTAAAGATTGCCATTTTGGCCAATTTGGGGCCTTTAACGCGCGATATATATTTTGTGCTATTGACGCGTAAGCGGAGATTTAATCCGTCTTAGAAATCGTTCCAAGTTGGTGGTTGAAAGAAGCTTATTTGCCATAATTGATTTGTTACATCGAGCAAAATCAATTCTTTTTGTACTTTGTATGTCGTGTGGGGTAATGATTTTCATTTAAAAATTTCAAATTGTAGAAAAAAATTTCATTTTATTTTATTACAATTAATTTTTTTACTGCTCTATAAACCTTAAAAGGCAGTCGGAAAATTCAGGGCTTCGCCTTGATACGAGCAGTCTTGATTGCTCTTTGTTTTAGAAATTTGCTCTGAGAATGCTGCCCTGCTCATTAAAATTATATTTGAAGGATTGCATTGTTTAAAATAGAATGCAATTAACATCTTAGATAGAAATCCTTAAAGATTACAATTAAGTACTTAGATTACAATGTTTAAAGTATATTGCAATTAACAACTTAGGTTGCAATGTCTGACGTAATCACAGAAAAACAAAGTTTGCAATTACCAACTCTGTTCAAAAGACTGTTGAGGACTGTGACACTGACAGAGCCTTTCTTGAGTAAAAATGTTTGCCAAAACTTTGGAGAAACATAATAATTAGTTAATTTTGAAATTTTTATGGCGTACAATTATTTTTGTACAACCCCATAAATCGATTCAAACCAATCAGGCACTAAAATCGATCCTAAGTTTTTCAGATACATCGATTCAAATCGATCTAAATTCCATTTCATATCCTTAAATCTACAACTTGGATCGATTTGAGTCAAATTAAAATCAATTTAATATCAAAAGTTATCGTTTCAAAAGTGTTTCTGTTAGTGCGGCTGATTATTCAACCCAGTTCACATTTTGTTAAACGGCTAAGGAGGTCAGCAAGAGTAAGGGGAGGGTATAGTGTTTAGAGGAGAGGGTGAAATTTCTAATATAAGGTTGTGTTTAAATTGCGGTGGTGTTACAAGAATGATCATAAGAATGAAGCCATGCCGTGGTATATTTAGAAGAATATATAAACGCATGTCTATAAGCTTACTGCAATTGGCAGGCAAGCCTTTGCACGTGTGAATTAGAATTTGTGGCATCCGGTTCCCAAATTAACAGCGGATTCCATAGCCACAAGCACGTAAGGTAAATATACGCCGCCTTAAAATATGTTGCAAGTTCCGCAACGGGCTAATTTCAAATGTTTTCCGGATTTGAGTGGTGAGAGCGGGTATTATGAGGGGGGGGGGGGTAAATTACCTGGCACTGTAGAGGACTAGCCCGTCCGGTTGTATACGGAGGAGTATGTTAGGAACCATAACTTCCTGCTTCTTGCTCTCATAGCTGTCTGGGAAGTAAGTATCCGGCTGCCAGATGTTGCTGAGGAAGTTGCTGTTCACAGTCAGGGAGTCTATCCCCTCACTGGCGTTGAACATGAGTCGCTTGTCCCGCCAGTACTGTCGGAATGAAATGTCAATTCGGAAGTTCTGAACACATTATTAAAGCAACATAATGTCATAGTTTTTAAGCTTAATTACCTTTCTCCTGGTGACAGGGATGTATCTAGTAGTGGATTGCGCTAATTTCAGTGGGAGAATCTTAACATGCCTGGTATAGTTTTTTTTAAATCACAACTTTCCAATTAAATAGGAATCGAAGGTCTTTTTGGGAGAGGGGTTTTAATTTAACCCCTAAAAGCCGCTAAAACGTCTAGGACGATAGTCCACTCTATTTCATTTCCCATAATTCTATGTGGAGTGGCTTGCTAAGAAGAAGCTCGTCTCAGTTGCGGGGTATTTCTGCTTCTCAGCAAGTTTTTGACATTTCACATGATATTCTTAAAAAAGTCGCCCTGATACGCCATCATTGTCATGGCAGTGGCTCGAAGCTTTTCCGAAGTAACGTCTAACCGGCTTGCTAAAAAGCCTTTCTCGCATTAAAAGTTTTCATCCACCATTTATCCACCATCGCTTCTTTATTTTGCTTCATTAGTTACTTTCCGTGACTCATTTAAAAATTTGACAATTTAGAGGAGTCTAATATGCGACGACTCTGAATGTCCAAGATGGGCCAATTGGCATACAACTCGCTGTAGAGTACTAAGTTCTTCTTTCAAAAATTGTGGTAAGCACTAAGCGAGTGGTATGCATACATGTGGCATGACCCGAAATGACAGATAGTTTAGTTCGCTTACATAATGATGATCATACCATGCAATTTTCAAGTACCGCGGCAATAAAGCGAAGATAAATATAAGGAGCGATCGTCGGTCAAACATGGATGTATTACAGTAGTACTAAATGACGAGGGGCCGAATCTATGACAGGGCGGGGGGGGGGGGGGGGTACTCATTTAACCTGCAACTGTTATGATGGTTAAACCTTGAAAACAGATTGCATGATATGATGACTGAATCTTGACTTACCATGTCGACTTCTGAGATGGGACCGACACTGTCGATGTTCATTGTTACATTCACCACAACTGGAGGACCTACACAACAATTAACAGCCTAGCTATCAACAACATAAAACCAATAAACAAACTATTTAAACTGATTGAAATACGAAAATAGTCGACCAAGTATTGCCATCACTAAAATAAGAGAATTTTTTTTGTTTTCATTGATTTTTCGAGTTACGCATACTAGTGACAAGAACTGACCATTTGCACCGAATTCGAGAAATTTTTCCAAACAAATTCGATAAACCGTTAAAAACAGACTTAAACCACTAAATGAATTGACTCTGAAATTTGACCTTACAATTCTTAAGTCCTGATTCAAATATCCCTGGAGAAAAAAAGTAAAAAAACGCTGGAAACTTTAGACAAATTTTTTCTCAAACTGGATTGATATTACTGAAAAAAGTAGCTTCAGCAAAAATAGCAAAGAAACTTAAGCAGGGGCACAACAGCGGTTCGCCGTGATGAGCTGTACAGCTCGTATGTTGGTCCTATCCCTCGTGGATAAATGATCTTAACAGTTCTGAAGTGCTGATTCAAATTCCCCGAAAAAAAAGCAAACAAAACATGACACTTTGAACGCAGTTTTATAATTGGATTGATATTACTGAAACAAAAAATGGCTAAGAATTGTGCCAGTATAATTATGGTGCTATTCTTTGCATAATCACAGTGCCACTTTTCAGTGAAATTCGGACTCCAATTTATTAATTTTGTTTTCACTCATTTAGGACAATTAAAAATTACGCGAAAAATACAGGGCCTGTAGCTGAGCATATCTTATCAAATTGAAACTCTTATTTTGCATAACATAGTAAAAAAAAACATAATGCCCGAACAATTATCATTTCTACTATATCAAGTACAAACTGATTTTTCAAAAACTTTTGATCGTTCCTTTTTTTTTACTTTTGAAAATCACATCAACTTTAAATTTGGATTAAACAAGCAGCTCAATTTGGTATAGTAGCCGAAGCCATGGTACTGGGAGAAACCGAAGCCATGGTACAGGGAAATACCGAATCCTTGGTACTGGGAGAAACTGACGCCATGGCACTGCGAGATACCAAAGCCATAGTAGTGCGAGATACCGAAGTCAAATACAGGGAGAAACAGAAGCCATTTCACTGCAAGATACCGAGAACATGGTACTGGTAGATACTGAAACCATCCTGCTGGAAGATACCGAAAACATGGTACTGGGAGAAACCGAAGCTATAGTACAGGAAAGCACCGGAGCCATGGTACTGGGGAGATACTGCCATGGTACTGGGAGATAACGAAGCCATGATACTTCGAGATATCGAAGCGATCGTACTGGGAGAAACCGACGACATAGTACTGCGAGATACCAAAGCCATGGTAATGCGAGATACCGAAGCCAAAGACAGGGAGATACCGAAGCCATGTTACTGGGAGATACCGAAATATGTTACTGAGAGACACCGAAAACATGGTACTGGGAGATAACGAAGCCATGGTACTGGAAGATACTTAAAACATCGTACTAAGAGATACCAAAGCCATGGTACTGGAAAATAATGAAAACATGGTACTGGTAGAAGCCGTAGCCATGGTACTTCGGCATACCGAAGCCATGGTACTGCGAGATACCAGAACCATAGTACTGCGATATACCGAAGCCATTTTACTGGAGGATACCGAAACATGGTACTGCGAGATACCGAAAACATGGTACTGGTAGATAACGAAGCCATGTTACTGGACGGTACGAAAAACATGGTACGGCGAGATACCGAAGCCATAGTACCAGGCTATAACGAAGCTATGGTACTTCGAGATACCTAAGCCATGGTACTAGAAGAAAATGACGCCATGGTAGTGCGAGATACCAGAGCCATAGTACTGCGATATACCGAAGCCATTTTACTGGAGAATACCGAAACATGTTACTGCGAGATACCAGAAACAAGGTACTGGTAGATAACGAAGCCATGATACTGGACGATACGAAATACATGGTAATGTGTGATACCGAAACCATGTTTTTGGGAGATACCGAAATATGGTACTGGATGACACCGAAAACATGGTACTGAGAGATAACGAAGCCATGGTACTGGAAGATACATAAAACATCGTACTGGGAGATACCAAAGCCATGGTACTGGATGAAATTGAAAAAAATGGTACTGGTAGAAGCCGTAGCCATGGTACTTCGAGATACCGAAGCCATGGTACTAGGAAAAATTGATGCCATGGTACTGCGAGATACCAGAGCCATAGTACTGCGAAATACCGAAGCCATTTTACTGGAGGATACCGAAACATGGTACTGCGAGATGCCGAAAACATGGTACTGGTAGATAACGAAGCCATGGTACTGGACGATATGATAAACATGGTACTGCGAGATATCGAAGCCAAAGTACTAGGCGATAACGAAGCCATGGTACTTTGAGATAACGAAGCCATGGTACTAGGTGAAAATGACGCCATGGTACTGCGAGAAACCAGAACCATAGTACTGTTGAAAACCGAAGTCATTTTACTGGAGAATACCGAAACATGTTACTGCGAGATAACAGAAACCAAGTACTGGTAGATAACGAAGCGATGGTACTGGACGATACGAAAAAATATGGTACTGTGTGATACCGAAGCCATGGTACTGGAAGATACATAAAACGTCGTACTGGGAGATACCAATGCCATGGTACTGGGAAATACTGAAAACATGGTACTGGTAGAAGCTGTAGCCATGGTACTTCGAGATACCGAAGCCATTGTTTCGAGATACCGAAAACATGATGCTAGTAGATAATGAGGCATGGAACCGGAAGATACGAAAATTTTGGTACTGGGAGATAACGAAGCCAAGGTACCGAAAACACTGAAAACTTGGTACTGGGAAATACCGAAGCCATGGTTCGGAGATACCGAAAACATGGTGCTGGTAGATAATGAGGCATGGAACCGGAAGATACAAAAAAATATGGTACTGGGAGACAACGAGGCCTTGGTACAGCAAGATACCGAACCCATGCTTCGGAGATACCGAAATCATCGTACTGCTAGATACCGAAGCCATGGTACTGGAAGATACATAAAACATCGTACTGGGAGATACCAAAGCCATGGTACTGGATGAAATTGAAAAAATGGTACTGGTAGAAGCCGTAGCCATGGTACTTCGAGATACCGAAGCCATGGTACTAGGAAAAATTGATGCCATGGTACTGCGAGATACCAGAGCCATAATACTGCGAGATACCGAAGCCATTTTACTGGAAGATACCGAAACATGGTACTGCGAGATACCGAAAACATGGTACTGGTAGATAACGAAGCCATGGTACTGGACGATATGATAAACATGGTACTGCGAGATACCGAAGTCATGGTACTGGAAGATGCATAAAACGTCGTACTGGGAGATACCAATGCCATGGTACTGGGAAATACTGAAAACATGGTACTGGTAGAAGCTGTAGCCATGGTACTTCGAGATACCGAAGCCATGGTACTGCGAGACACCAGAGCCATAGTACTGCGATATACCAAAGCCATTTTACTGGAGGATACCGAAACATGGTACTGCGAGATACCGAAAACATGGTACTGGTAGATAACGAAGCCATGCTACTGGACGGTACGAAAAACACGGTACGGCGAGATACCGAAACCATAGTACTAGGCGATAACGAAGCCATGATCATTCCAGATACCTAAGCCATGGTACTAGGAGAAAATGACGAAATGGTACGTCGAGATACCAGAGCCATAGTACTGCGAAAAACCGAAGCTATTTTACTGGAGAATACCGAAACATGTTACTGCGAGATACCAGAAACAAGGTACTGGTAGAAAACGAAGCCATGGTACTGGACGATACGAAAAACATGGCACTGCGAGATACCGAAGCCATAGTACTAGGCGATAACGAAGCCATGGTACTTTGAGTTAACGAAGCCATGGTACTAGGCGAAAAGGACGCCATGGTACTGCGAGATACCAGAACCATAGTACTGTTGAAAACCGAAGCCATTTTACTGGAGAACACCGAAACATGTTACTGCGAGGTACCAGAAACAAGGTACTGGTAGATAACGAAGCCATGGTACTGGACGATACGAAAAAATATGGTACTGTGTGATACCGAAGCCATGGTACTGGAAGATACCGAATACATGGTACCGGGAGAAACCGAAGCCATGGTACAGCAAGATATCAAAGCGATGGTACTGGGAGAGGTAACACCATGGTAATGGGAGATACCGAAGCCATGGTACTTCGAGATACCGAAGCCATAGTACTTGGAGTAACTGAGCCATGGTACTGCGAGATACCAAAGCCATTGTACTGGGAGAAACTGACGCCATGGTACTGCGAGAAATCAAAGCCACAGTACTGCCAGTTATTGAAGCCATATACAGGTAGAAACAGACGCCATTTCACTGCAAGATTTCGAGAACATGGTACTGGGAGATACTGAAACCCTTGTACTGGAAGATACCGAAAACAGTGTACTGGGAGAAACCGAAGCCATAGTACAGGAAAACACCGAAGTCTTGGTACTGGGAGAAACTGACACCATGGTACATCGAGATACCGAAGCCATGGTACTAGTAGAAAATGACTCCATGGTACTGCGAGATACCAGAGCCATAGTACTGCGAAAAACCGAAGCCATTTTGCTGGAGAATACCGAAACATGGTTCTGCGAGATACCAAAAACATGGAACTGGTAAATAACGAAGCCATGGTACTGGGCGATACGAAAAACATGGTACTGCGTGATACCAGAGCCTTAGTACTGCGAAAAACCGAAGCCATTTTACTGGAGAATACCGAAACATGGTTCTGCGAGATACCAAAAACATGGAACTGGTAGATAACGAAGCCATGGTACTGGGCGATACGAAAAACATGGTACTGCGTGATACCGAAGCCATGGTACTGGAAGACACCGAAAACATGGTATCGGGGAAACCGAAGCCATGGTACAGCAAGATACCGAAGCCATGGTACTTGGAGATGTCGAAGTCAAACACAGAGAGATACCGAAG